CGGGCTACATGGTACTAGACACGGCGTGCCAGCGAACCTGTTGTGGCAGGACCTGGGCACAGAGGCACTTCAACTACCTCAGCGGCATCCCCCTCGAACCGGCCAAGGCTCAGATCCATGACAAGTTCCAGTTCGGGAAGGGTGCACCAGTAGAAGCCGATTGCAGAGCCTATGTTCCGGTCAGCTTCAGCGACCACCCACCGTTGCTGATTGGCACAGGCGTCTTGGGTGCAGATGTGCCACTACTCGCGAGCAACGTGCTCCTCAAGGCGCTCGGCATGATTCTTGATTTGCCGGACATGAAGGTCACCTTTAAAACCCTAGGATGCAGTGCCCCCGTTTATGTGATCAACGGCCACCTTTCAGTACGCATGGATTGTTTTGCACAACATGAGCATGACGGTTTTGCCCAGCTGTTGTCTCGCACTTCATGGCATGATGCGCCGGCCGAAGCAATCTTTGGCCAGACTTCGAGTGCAACCACAGGTGAGTCACGACATGCTCGTGACACCCCCGACATGGCTCGTTCGTTGGCGCCGACTTGTGACGTGCTTGCGCAACTTCAGGGCACACCTCTACTTGACCATGGTTCGTGCAGTGAGGCTGGGCATCTGCGAGCACCAATGGCTGCTGGAAGCTACGCCCCCGAGGCTGGATCCCAACTTCCAGGTGCGGCAGGACACGTGCCGGCACCCAGATGTGCAGCGCTACGGGAACGCCACGGGCCGGTACTCCCGATGCAAGGTGTGCAACAAAAGATGGGTGTGGGACGCAGACCGCGAGCGATGGGTGCACAAACCATACGTCGCATCTTCACGCTCATCGGCGCTGCCATTGCCCTCTTCGGACAACACCCTGGAGAACCAAGCTCCGGCTCCCCCACCGTCGACTTCATTGCGGGCGGCCCGAGCCAAGACGAGTACGGCGCGACCCAGGCCGAGCACAGCGACTTCATCAACGGCATTCGCGCCGACTTCCGGAAACGGCGCAACAACGAGCCCGAGATCGACCATTGGGCACTCCTTCGCGGACCAATGCCCAACGACCACTCGGAGGAGATCAGCTCGGAGGAACTCGACTTGGACAATGTCGACGGCTGATCGGCGACCTCGAGCGGGCGGCGAAAACCTACCAGAAGGAGATCGACGTGTACCAGGCCCTGCCGACGACCTCCTCGAGACCACCGCCC